GGGGGGGTGGGGAAACCCTCATTCCATTTGTTCCACAACAACTAGGTTTTTAAAGGGGTAAAGTAAATCCCTTTCCAAAACCAGGGCAGAACGTATTCCTTCAAACGCAGCACCTGAACCATTCAAGTGGATGCTTCTACCAGTGATCCCAGTGCGGTAGGTTACACTACATGACATTGCTGCTTTCACATGTGTTTTCAAGTCTATACAAGTGCTGCCAGTAATAAAAGGGAGCGATTTGTAACAGCACATGAACAGCATCAGTTTGCTGACATCTAACCCTTCAATGAACTCAATGATTTTACTGCCTTTAACTCATCTTACCACAGGCATAGGTAACACACTTAGACAATAAAGTTACATCTGTTTGGGAGTGAGGAAAGGATTTTTTTCTTTTGACCCGCATATTGAAAAGTAATTGTTAGTATGTCAGACCTGCAGAACTTGTAATCTACTTCTGAGAGACATGGAGTCAGGCAGTGCTGTACCAACAGAAACCATCTTGCATTTCCCTTTGATAGTCCACTCAGAGATGCAGACAGCACATACTCAGTGGACCAAATCTGATACACCAAGTCCAGACTTTCCAGAAAACAATGTCGCAAATGAAGGATGCGTGTATTTAAATGCTAAAACTTAACAGAACCAGAGCATGTATTTACAGAAAAAGCCTGTCTGCATCCCTTCCTGAATGGCAAGTGAGAAGCAAGGGAAGCCCTAAGCCTATCAAGCAAGCCTCCTGCTTACTATGTTCCTCCAGCTGACACTGTGACAACTACCAGCTTTCAAAAACAGAAGCAGACAACCCTGCTTAACTTTAAAGTACGAGTGCTTTTGTCCTCATTCACAACAGCACCATCTTGAAGATGTTCACCCTGAGACTAAGACCAAATTGTTTTCAAGTAAGCAGTAATGTGATATTACAGGAGCATTAGAATTCTCCAATCAACTCAAGTCATCTCCTACTTATTAATTCCATGGGCTCCAGTCATCCTGGAGTTCTTAAAAAAAACCCACAATTTTAACCAGCTACAATTTTACTTTTTTACAAAATCAAAGCTGGATTTAAATGAGAATTCTGCTTCAGGCACAGGTGATGGTCCTACATACAATGACAGCACTAGTTCGGTTTGAGTACTTCTATGTTAACATCAGTCTTTGAATAATAGATTTGTTCTCGCCCTTATTCCTAACAGCATTATATGCCTGTTCTTCTATCATTTCATAAACCAATATTGATTTGATAGGACTTGCAGGCTGCTTTTGCTGAAAAAAAAATAATTCTGCAAAGTGTCTGTACTTGCTGAACAATCTGTTAAATTAAATTCAGCACCCAAACATTCACAGACTTTATAGATCAGTGCACAGAAGCTGAGTTTAAGGAACTAAATATATACTACACATTTCAAAGATCTTTTTCCACTAGCCTTAAAAAACTGGCTCCAAACAGCTCAACCTATGATCTGGGATGCTTAAAGTATAGAACAGTTAATTTATATGAGATTTCCTGCAACTCTCTGCTTCCAAACAAACAAAAAAAGGTCAATGTTAAAAACTGTGGGAAAGGAGGAACATTAGAACAGTCATGCCAAAACGTGCCAAAGTCAGTTTGTTCTACTTCCAGAATAAGCTGTACCTAATGCACAGTAACAGGGACATAAACCACTCCAAACACTCAAAAAACCCAACACTCAAACCTCTCTGCACATGCAGGTACAGTCCAGCAGATCCCTCATCTTATGAAGTAGATCATGTAACAAAATGAAGACAAAACTCTGATAGCTCAGCAGTTGAACCTGTTATGCATTGAAACCCAGGACCTTCAAGTGTTGTAGCAAACAGCTAAGTACCTGAAACGCAAAAAGTGCATTCCTGCCTCTTCACAGAACACCACTACAGACCAGAGCCATCTAGAACAGGATGAAAAGGCTAACTCACAAGAGCCACTATAATTTTCCAGACTGGACTTATCCACAGCATTGATTTTGAAAGGTCAATTATACTTTTATCATCTAAAATAAGATTTTTAACTTGCCACAATAAAATGTTCTACCTCAAAGTCTCTCAATTTTGCTTTTCCTCATTGCCCTTCTTTTTAAAGGGAAAGGGTCTCCACGAGACTCGTAACTAAGTTCTTCTCTTGATATGAAATGTCTTACCCAGACTTCTGCTGACAGCAGCAGCAGTTCATAAGGTGGCAACACACATGACAAGAAACTCCCAGAACATCAGTAAAGAACATTGTACTGAGTCAAATACACAAGTCCTAGATCCCAGGTCACAGAAAACTATATGATGGGATCTGCCCACAGGATAAGACACCTCCAGGGTAACAGGATAATTGCTGTTGAGCACCATAAGCTTATGAACCTGCCGGGCATGGTTATGGACATTCAGTGGTGGTGGTCTTTTAGGTGACTAAAAATAATCTCACGGCCTGCTCATGAAGTTGCTGCCCACGTAACGCTTGCTGAATTTACACAGTTGGAAGTATGGAGCACCTTTCGGAATCTCCAACATCTGTATTTACAGCCCAGACCTCAAACAATGCAAATTCAGATGAGCTGCTGGTTGAAATGACTAAACAAGAATAAAGTGCTACTGAACTGCAATGGTACTTCCAAGTTAATGTCACGGATGCAGCTTTAAAAACAGGCTTTTATGGTGACAACAATCCAGGAAGGCAAGATCTTCCAAATACTGAATCCCACCCAACAGTCACAGAGCTGAGCCTGGTACAGCTATTCAACAGAGATAGGAAGCACTTTGCAAGGCAGGTATTTTCCATTAAGACTGGCTCACAGTTGCACATCAAGAATCAGTACAGACTAAAATAAACCCTTGTTCTTGAGCACTGGCTGCACAAGCTATATGACACTTCCTCTCAGCATGAAAATATCAGTTTCACTTAGCCACACAAAAGGGATGAGCAGTCTTCTGTAAATTGAAAAGCTGCAGATGTTTTTGTACAGCATGCTATATGAACACAGGAAGATACCTGGATTTTTAGCATGCACAACCGCATGCCCTTCTCAGGAATTTTCAGCAGAGAGGGAGTTCAAGAAGGTTCACAGGAAGAATGCTTAAAAATAGCACAACATCCCAAAGACAGTCTAGATCAAACAACAGACATCCTGTTGATTCTTCTCCTTTTGTTTTTACCTGGGCTATAACCTTTCTGCTCTGCCAATAAACATTCATCTATGTTCCTTTGCAAGATCTATAGCCAGACTACGGGAAACTGGTTTACAGAGTTCCAGAGATAGCAAAGATTACTCATAGTTTCATGTACTGATAATCATCTGAAGTCTAAATGCTTTAGCGAAGCCATACTAATGCACGAATGCAGGTGAGCTGCACAGAGCAGCAACTGGGCAGGGATACCGTGTAACGCATGGGGACACACTCAAGTCTCCTTTCATAAGGCTGCTCACCTCCATGCTATATACTGCGCCCAATCCTCTAGGCTTTGGGGTTTTCTTTCTTTTAAACACAACAAAACCAGCAGATGTTTGTTTTAGTGTAAGAATTCTGCTCCAAATAACCCAAAACCCTCATGTAGAGCTAGTAACAAGTTCCAGCTTTCACCCAAAGAAATTAAGAGGGACCTTTTCTACCCTGAAGAAATACATGCAGCTCGTTCTTACCATACAAGTGATTGCACACTACTTGCCGACTCCAGATATTATTCGTATGAAAGAGCGTTTTCAGAAAACCCAACTCTGGTTGAGTTAAACAGAAGGAAGTTTACCATTTTAACCTCTGAGTAATGCCTATGAGCAAGGTAAAAGCACAGCCTGGCAAGCTGAGGCCTTTACTTCTGTTTTTCCTCATCTTGGTAAGTTCTTTTAAAGTCAGTCTCTTACGCTTTCAATATAGAAAAGTTATTAACAAGTTAAACATTATAAGACTGGAAGTTTAATTCGTTGTTAGAAGGAAAGAAAAAGGTCAGTAACTACAAACTCGCACTGACCAGTTCCTATCTTATTCATACACTGCAATTTGCCTCTCCTGTCCTTCCTTCCTACACTCCTTTCTCTAAAGCAGTCAGAAGTTGAGAAAATTACAGAAGCCGCAAGGCCAAGCAGCTCACATGCAAGATAAGCATTTGGCTCTCACCCATCCTCCCACCCCATTAAAAACAATCAGACATTTGGTTCTGCATATATTTGTTTGAATTGTCAGCACTGTTAGATACTTGAATAAAACAATATCACTACGCTGCACCTTAAACAGCGAAACTGGCCAGTTTCACTGCATTGTTCCAAGTGCAAAGAGGATAAACAGCACCAAGTGAAAAACCAGAAGAGCTATTAGAAACCTGGAAGCGGTTGTTTGCATATCGTGCTCCCCAGGGACATTCAGTCATTGCTAGATCAGTGTTTTCCATGAAGACTCAATGGAAGGAACTGGGTGGATGTGGATGTGTCAGAGGTATGAAAATATGAAGTTCTCACGATAATGTCTAAATCAAAGTAAATCCCAAATGAACATTTGTCAGCTAAACACAATTGTTATGTTCACACATAAACCTAATAATAGTAAACACTTAAGTATATCTAGCATGCCCTCCTGACTATGAAATGGAAAAATGTGGAACAAAAAGCAGTTTAATTAAGATTTGAAAGAATCTTTTTGCTTGTTAAAAGGCTAGCAGGAAAAAAAAACACCTGTAGTTCAACTTCACACTAAGAAAAACTATCCATAATAAACACAGAATCACAACAATCTTGAGAGTGTATGACATTTTTTCCATGGGAAATTCGGCCTACCAGAGGGGAAATTTATTTGTGGCTGACCTGGACACTATAATATTTTCCCATGTCTTCTTCTATGTCATGCCTTCAGCATACAAGCACTTATCTTTTTAACTTTTTTTCCCTCTAAATTGGATTTACAGTCACTGTGACACTATTGTCTAAGTTGCTGCCCACCTTGAATGGAGTATTTTCTCATGCTGATTCAGCCAATTATCTATTCTATAGTGAACACTGATGTAATTAATGTTCATCACAGTGAGGTCAGGCTGTGGTCCTTTAGAAGCAGTTACAGCTGTTCCTGCTTTCTGCAGTTCCTAGGAAGGGATTAAACCATTCTGCAATCTACCCAAAACAGGGATGAAAGGCATAAGTGGGTGAAGAGAAGGGCATACCACAGAGGAAGATACCTGATCCATCAAGTCAGGTATTTTATTAAAAATGAATGAGAAAACATCTCTGAAAACTTGTCATGGTTAAGCACCAGCCAGCAACTAAGCAACACAGCTGCTCACTCACTCCTTCCCCTGCCCAGTGGGATGGGTAGGAGAATTGGAAAAAAGATTCATGGGTTGAGATAAGAATGGTTTAATAAATAAAATAATAACAATCATAATTGTAATGAAAATGAATACAATAAAAAAGAGGGAAATAAAACCCAAGAAAAGACAAGTGATGCACAATGCAATTGCTCACCACCTGCTGTTCGATACCCGAGCAGCGATCCGCCCCTCCTGGCCCACTCCCCTGTTTATACACCGAGGATGATGCTCTGTGGTATGGAATAGCCCTTTGGATAGTGCGTGTCAGCTGTCCTGGCCGTGCTCCCTCCCAGCTTCTTGGGCACCTGCTCACTGGCACAGCACAGCAAACTGAAAAATCTTTAAAGTAGAATAAGCCGTACTTAGCAACAACTAAAACATCAGTGTGTTACCAACATTGTTCTCACACTAAATCCAAACCAAAGGATTGTATCGGTTACTAGGAAGAAAATTAACTCTGTCCCAGCCGAAGCCAGGACAAAACCTCATCTCTGTCAAATATGTCTGGGTATCTTCACCCAGCATAATCCAATGCTAAAAAAAAAAAGCTGGAAATAGCTGTAATAAATACTTATTTTCTCCTTCAGACTGTACGTTAGTACAGTCAACCCTATTACTCAGTATGTTATAGTTAAGGTGGCAAGTTACTCACAAAGCAACAGCACCAAAACCAGATCTAAGGCACTGCAGTCAAATATGGGCAACTGCAAAGGACAGAAAAGCTGAATGTCCATAAATCAACAAAGTGTGCTCTCATCCAAGGGAAACATGCAGGAGGGGAAAAAAGTTTCCAAATGACAGAGCAACTCAGCTGACAGGCAGAACAGGTTCTGATACACATACTTGGGACCATTCTGTCTCTGTATTATCCATGGTCCATAAGACAGGTAACAACACTTATCTGGAAATATATACAGACTACCAAAGCAACTGTAATTTTAAAGAAAATAAATCAGCACAGCTAGAGAACTGTTAGGAAACCCCAAACTGCCCTCCCCACAAACAAATGCTTTCTTGTAACTACCTTTGGGGATCCTGAAACTAAGTTTTTCTTCTTTTAATTATAGCCCTATTTCTATTTTTTAAATATTCCTCTGAGCAAAACCACTTTAAATGTTTGCAGGAATTCAGTAATAATCAGTAAAGAACCAAGTTCAGCTTCAAGCTTCCAAGTTAGCTAGTGGTAAAACCAGAAAAGAAACAAGATCAGCTCTGCAAACATCGGAAAAGCTCTCAGGTGACTACAAGTAAACACCACTGTTCAATGAAGAAGGAAGGTGGGTCTTCTGCACTGTAAAAAGAAAACTGTTACGGCAAGGCTGCCGGTAACCCTTGGAACCGAAAGAGAAACACCTATAAAATTCTCAGAAGGACTGTAGTGAACTTCAGATATAAGAACTAGCTCCAAATTTGATCCAAGTGACCGCTCAGTGTCTTCTAGAGTTTTGTATAACCTCAGACTGATTTGTAAGGGTCATACGAGGCAAACACACTCAAATACGTGCAAAATATTCATATGCTTGTAATACCCGAGTCACACTTCAGCTTCCTCAAAACAGTCACT